CCAGGCGCCCCTCATTTGTATTTTCTGTGTACAGATTTTCCATGTAAGGCTTTTACGAGCATTATCATTATCATTTTAAAAAATTATTTTTGTAGCTTTTTGACTTGGATTCATTCAAGAAACTTCAGTCATATTTAGCTTATTTTCTACATGTCAGGCACTTTCACTTACGTTTTTTCTTTTAGTCTTCAAAATAGCCATGTGAAATAAAGTATCCCTATATAATACCTGAGATACCTGAGCTAAGAAAGATTAAGTAACTCGTCAAGCTGACACAGATCCTAACTGATAAAACTAGAATTTCAGTCCAGGTGTTTTGATGCCAGGTTGCATGTTCTTTCCTGTGCTACTGAAATCAGTAACCCTCTGAAAGAGAGGCTGTTGTCACATTTCAGGTCCTGTTGGGGGAGGTGATCTCCACCTTCTTATTGTTCCTGTTGCTGTTTGAATCTGTTTCTCCTTCAAAATTCCTAACTCCTTTGAAGCATATCCCCCTGATTCATTTAATACCTGACTTCCTATCTCCCTTTGCACAGTTATTTTTGCTATTTTTGTCTTTTCACTTTTTCTGGCTTCTCTCCGCTTCATTTCCCAATTTATGTTCTGTAATCCAGCACTGTAGCTACTCCTGTGTAAAAGCCTAATCTATTCTGACCCTTTCTAAAGTGATGTTTTTATTTCTACCCGTGGTTCACTATATTCTAGCCCCACTGACCTTTCTGTCCCTTGAACACATTAAATTCAGTTCGTTCCTAGGATCATTGCAGCATCATATGCTGCCTTCTGGTTAGCATATTTTTCCTCTAAAACTTGGCATGACTGATTCCTAATCTTGAAAACTCACTCACATGTCTGTTCCACATAGAGGCCTTCACTGGTCACCCTTGTCTTCTTTGCCATATTTCTCCGTTATCTTCATAACATTTATCAAAATCTGAAGTCCTCTTATCTATCAACTTATTGTGTGTCTACTTCCACTCAAATAATACTTTGGTCTGTGGCCAGTAGTTTTGTAGACATTTATTAAAAATGTATTAACCTGGGGTGCCTGGGTGGCTCAGTCAGTTAAGCGTCCAACTTAGCTCAGGTCATGATCTTGCAGTTTGTGAGTTTGAGCCTGGCATTGGGCTCTGTGCTGTCAGTGCAGAGCCTGCTTTGGATCGCCTCTCTCTCTCTCTCTCTCTCTCTCTCTAATGCTCCCGTGCTCACGCATACATGCTCTCTCTCAAAAATAAAATAATCGGGGCGCCTGGGTGGCACAGTCGGTTAAGCGTCCGACTTCAGTCAGGTCACGATCTCGCGGTCCGGGAGTTCGAGCCCCACGTCAGGCTCTGGGCTGATGGCTCAGAGCCTGGAGCCTGTTTCCAATTCTGTGTCTCCCTCTCTCTCTGCCCCTCCCCCGTTCATGCTCTGTCTCTCTCTGTCCCAAAAATAAATAAACGTTGAAAAAAAAATTAAAAAAAAAAAATAAAATAAGACATTAAAAACTATAAATAAAAAATAAAAATGATTAACCACATTGATATAATTCCTTCAGTGTTAGTATATTGAGTTCTGTAGTTGTCTGAAAATCCTAGTGGGGTTTGTTTTGTTTGGGGTTTTTTTTTGCTTGTTTTTAACATAAGTTAGGATTTAAAATCCATCCTGTTTCTATTTGATAGACTTTTACCCCTTGACGGTGACTCACAGTGGAATCTTCTTTTATTTATTTATTATTATTTCTTTAATTTTGAGAGAGAGAGAGAGAGAGCAAGGGAGAGGGGCAGTGGGAGAGAGAGAGAGAAAATGTCTTATGCAGGCTCTACTCTCAGTGTGGAGCCCGATGCAGGACTCGATTCCACTACATCGGGATAAAGACCTGAGCCAAAATCAAGAGTCAGATGCTCAACCGACTGGGCCACCCAGGTGCCCGTACATTTATTTTTTTAATATTATGTTTAAGTAATTTCTGCCACCCAGTAAGTATAAGGCTTGACTCACCATCCCAGGATCAGGAGTTACATGCTTTTCCTACTGAACCAGCCAGGTGCTCCTTTACATTTAATTTTTATTTCCAGTAATACATCTTTGTGGTTTTAAAATAAAAGGCCAAGGCTTTTTAAGGTGCTTGACTCTTCTAACCCTGTTTTTCACTCCTTGGAGCAATCACTTTCAACTCCTATAATTTGCCTCTGGTATTTACTTTTTTTTTTTTTAAATGTTTATTTATTTTTGATAAAAGAGAGTGAGAGAGACAGAGTGCAAGTAGGGGAGGGGCAGAGAGAGAGTGAGACACAGAATCCGAATCAGGCTCCAGGCTCTGAGCTGTCAGCCCAGAGCCTGACGTGGGGCTCAAACCCACAAACCACGAGATCATGACCTGAGCCAAAGTTGGATGCTTAACCAACCAAGCCACCTGGGGGCCCCAAAATTCGCTTCTTTTTAAGCAATCTCTATACCCAACTTGGGGCTTGAACTCACAACCCTGAGATCAAGAGTCACATGTTCCACCTATTGAGCCATCCAGGCACCCCTTTCTGGTATTTACTTATTTCTGTTTCATTAAATAATTTGCTTACATCGTTATTTCTTGAGACCCCCCCCACCCCAACCTCGTTTTAGGCATTCTTTCTGCTATAGATTTGATGTTTTTGGACCTTCCCCTCCCAACACTCAAAATTTTTACTCATTCATTTACTAACATGTGTGCCTAATTTTACAAAAAATGAATATTCTGTATTCTTTCACCTATTGTATCTTGGACTTTTAAGATGTCATAGAGGTAAGTGGAATATTTAATTTCTACTGAAATTTATAAAATAGCATTGGTCTCTACCTCATCTTTTTAAACAGATCATACTGAATTTATGTTTCCCAATTTATTTAACCAATCCTGTATTAGTGGCCTTTTGGAGTATTTTGTTTACTTGCTGGCTGCCTGCCTGCCTGCCTAACCCCCATATATAAATTTTCTTTTGCAGTTTGTTTTTCTGATTCAGCATTATTTCTGAAATCTTCTACATGGATACTGTAGATCTGGTTTATTTATGATCATTGGTGATTAGATTTCATCATATGACTACAGTAAAATTTGCCCATCCAAATTCTTGTTGATAAACATTTAGGCTGTTTTGTTGTCTTTATGATTTCCCTTAAAATAGCTCTATAGACATTCCTATTCATGTGAGTTTCTTTAGAGAATATATCCTTATTTGAAGCCAACTATGAATTATTATTCTTTTAGGGAATATATAGCATCAGCCTCACCACATATTGTTAGATTGCTCTTCAAAGTGGTTGGACTAGTTTGACCTCCTCCCCACATTCTTATCATATTTGTATTGTCAGATTTTACAACATTTGTCAATTACCTGCATCAGAAATAGTATATGATTGTTTAAATTAATTGTTTAAAATAATTGTTTCAATTTCTCTGATTACCATTTAGATTGATCATTCTTTCTTACATTTATTAACTTTTTAGACTTTCTCCTATGAGTTTTTCTGTTAGCTTGCTTACATTTTTTCCTTCCTGTTGATTTGGTGGAATTCTTTATATATTCTGGGCATTGACCCTTTGTCAGAAATACAAACTACAGATATCATCTCCCAGTCTTCAACTAGACTTTTAGTTTATATATGGTATCTTCTGAAGCACAGAAATTTAGAATTCTGTTCTGGTTGAATTTGTCCATTTTTTTCCTTCATGGGTTTCCATTTTGTATGCTTGCCAACCTCCAGTTTGTAAAGGATTCTATTTACTAAATATTTTAAAATACTGCTTTTCACACTTAGGTCTTTGTTCCATCTGGAGTTAATTTTTCTATTTTGTGTAATATGAGGATCCAGTTTTTTTTCCTTGCTGACCCAGCATAATTGATAGTCTGTCCTTTTCCTGGTGAGTTGTAACACGAAGTTCTGCATTTAGTTGTAATGCCATGTTCCATTATACACTTGGATCTGTTTCTGGGCACCGTACTTTTTTTCCATTGATTGGTTTTTTTCCATCCTTGCTCAAGTACTATAGTGTCTTTAATTATTACTGCCTTATAAAAAGGCTTGAAATCTGGTAAGTTGCACATACCTGTTTTTCTTCAAAATTACCTTGTCTACTTTATCTGCCCCTTGGGAAATTTCTGACAATCAGAATTTCATATGAATTAGATATTACATGGTGCTGAGGCATTATTAATAATTTTGTAGGTATGAAATAGCATTTTGCATATGTAAGAAAATGTCCGTATTTTAGAGGTGCCTACTTAAGTACATGGGGATGAAATGACATGAAATGTGAGGTTTGTTATAAAACATTTTAGCCAACAGAAAGGGGGACAGAGATTAATGATGTAGTAAGTGAGGGTCACCTGAGTGGCTCAGTAGGTTGAGCATTCAACTTGGTTGAGATCATGATCTCATGGTTGGCGAGTTCGAGCCCCATGTTGGGCTCTCTGCTGTCAGCATGGAGCCTGCTTGGATTCCTCTTTTCCCTCTCTCTGCCCTTCCACCACCTGCATGCGCTAGCATACTCTCTCTCTCTCTCACAAATAAACATTGAGGCACCTGGGTGGCTCAGTTGGTTAAGTCTCTGACTTTGGCTTCAAGTGGTGATGTTGAGGTTCTTGAGTTTGAGCCTGGCATTGGGCTCTGTGCTGAATGCTCGGAGCCTGGAGCCTGCTTCGGATTCTTTCTCCCTCTATCTGTGCCCCTCTACCACTCGCGCTTTGTCTCTCCCTCAAACATTAAAAAAAGTAAGTAAACATTTTAAAAACTATAATAATGAAATAAGCGTGGCAAAATCCTGATAATTGTTTAATCTGGGTGATGAAGTAGATGACTTCATGAAACTAATATATTTTTACTGTGGTTGGAAAATGTAATAATTTTAGGGGCACCTTCCTGGCTCAGTCGGTTAAGTGTCCGACTTCGGCTCAGGTTGTGATCTCGTGGTTCATGAGTTCAAGCCCCACGTCCACCTCTGTGCTGACACCTCAGAGCCTGGAGCCTGTTTCAGATTCTGTGTCTCCCTCTCTCTCTGTCCCTCCCTTGCTTGCTCTGTCTCTTTCTCTCAAAAATAAATTAAAAAAAATTTTTTTTAATTCAGAAAATTAATAATTTTTAAAATTGTTCTTAGCTCTTTAATATTCCATGTAGAATTTAGAATCGATCTGTCATCTTTCTTTCTTTCTTTCTTTCTTTCTTTCTTTCTTTCTTTCTTTCTAAAATTTTTGTAATCTTTATTTTTGGGAGAGAGAGAGAGAGAGAGAGAAGCAGAGCTCCAGCGGAGGTGGAACAGAGAGAGAGGGAGACAGAATCCGAAGCAGGCTCCAGGCTCTGAGGTGTCAGCACAGAGCCCGATGTGGGGCTTGAACTCATGAGCTGTGAGTTCATGACCTGAGACACCCAGGTGCCCCTGTCACTGTTCTTTAAAAAATGCTGTTGAGATTTGGATTTGGTTGCATTGAACTTAAAGAAAATTTATGTATTTGGTATATTTATGATAGTACTGAGTTTTGCTGTCCATGAATGTGCCATTTGTTTATTTTGGTCTCATTTTTAAGCATGTTTTAATATTCTTTTATAATTTAGTTTTGGAAGGCTTAGCACATCTGTTGTTAGATTTATTCCTAAAGTGCCTTAGATTTTTTGATGCTATACTAGTCTATCTTTACGTAAAAAGTTGTGTCTGTAGTATTATAGGGAGATGTCTTTCTATGTCTGTTAATCTATATTTTTTATCGTTGTCAAGAATCTTATTTTTTTAATTCCAGTATAGCTAACATACACTGTTGCATTAGTTTCTGATGTACAATATAGTGACTCAACAATTCTATACGTAACTCACGGTTTATCATAAGTGTACTCTTAATCCCCTTAACCTATTTCACCCAGTCTCCCTACCTTCTCTCTTTGTTCTCTGTAGTTAAGAGTCTGTTTCTTGGTTTTTGTCTCCTTTTTTATTTGAGTTTGTTTTGCTTCTTAAATTCCATGTATGAGAGGAATCATACGGTATTTGTCTTTCTCTTACTTATTTCACTTAGTGTTATAGCCTCTAGATCCATCCATGTTGTTGTAAATGGCAGGATTTCATTCTTTTCTTTTTTGTGGCCGAGTAATAGTCTATTGTGAATATATGTACCACATCTTTATTATTCATCTATAGATGGACACTTGGGCACTTGAGTTGCTTCTGTAGTTGGGCTTTTGTAAATAATGTTGCAGTTAACACAGGGGTGCATATATCTTTTTGAATTAGTGTTTTCATATTCTTTAGGTAGGTAAATACCCAGTAGTGAAATTACTGGATCCTGTGGTAATTGTATTTTTAATTTTTTGAGGAACTTCTGTACTGTTTTCCACAGTGGCCGCAATCAGTTTGTATTTAGTTTTTTAGGTACAATAGCTTTTTCAGAAGTAGTTGTTCTTTTTTATTTTGTTTTGTTTTGTTTTTTAGTATTCTTGATTGCATTTAGTCATTGTATAAAGCAGTGAGTAAGAGACTGGTGTAAGCCTGAACCTATTAATGCAATTTGTTATACTTATTTTTTTATTGTTACACTTATTAATGGTAACAACAGTTGAACCATTTTTTGTATTCCTAATTTGTAATTTTGCTTTTTAGAAACTGTTGCCCTAAGAGCATATTATTGGGCATATTAATAAACATGTTACTTTAGAGGCTCCAGGGTTGCTTATTTGGTTGGTTGTGCATCCGACTTCGGCGCAGGTCATGGTCTCTTGCATCTTGAGTTTGCGCCCTATATTGGGCTCACTGCTGTCAGCACGTAGCAGCCTTTGAATCCTTTGTCTTCCTCTCTCTGCCCCTCCCCCACTTGCGTGCGCCCTCTGTCTCAAAAAAAATACATAAACATTTTTTTAAAACATGTTATTTTATGTTTATATGTTATGTATTTCCTCCCAAATAGGCTACCTTGAAGTGATATTTTTGTTTGTTAATCAGGATGCCCTCAGTTACTTTTCCACATTTAATCTTGCAAAGATACAGGAGACATTTATTTTCTTAAGTCCATTATTTGAATGTATAACTTAAAAACTTAAAGAGTGAGGAATGGTAGGTACTTGATCTTTTCTTATATTGTTAATTTTGCTTTTGAAATTAGTGATTTCGACTCTCTTCTTGCTTACTAGCTACATGTAAGTTGCTGCCTGTTTTTACTGTGGCTATGTATTTGAAGTGTTTGTATTTTACTCATGAAGTGTAAAATAATTTAACACATTTTTAGTGTTTGTTTTTTTTCCCCCTCTACCAGATTAAACTTGGACATAGATCAGAAGCTAAAGATGGTGAGTATTTAATGTAATCTGACCAAACAGGGTAAGTTTTTCTTCTCACTGAGGAAGTTCAAGTATTAGCGTTCTAAGTGGCTCTGGGTAGAGTTTTTGCAGGGTGCTAGAAGAGTAGACTCAGGATAGAGACAGGATATCGGTGATATCCACCATTTGGTTGTTAAGAGTCATGTAAGTCACTCAAGTCATCTGAGTAAATGGAACATAGCAAAGTTATTTATCAGTGGCTTGTCTTGCAGTGGTCATTACTGTTTAACGTGTTGTTGTAAGCAGTTTATTTTTTATCTTAGCTTTTAATTACTTTAAAAATTCAGGATATAGCTTCATAGAAGTACAGAAAACTCACTCTGGAATAAATGTATGGAGGAAAATATCTTTATCCCTTCCACACCCTTGTGTGCTATAGTGTTAAGTCTGATTTAGTCATCAAGAACTAGTCTTTATAAAAAGGATCCATCATCTATTTAACAGCTAGTACCAGATCTTATTTTAAATTAGGAATTCTATCTTTTGTTTTGGGAAAGATACTGTCTTACCATTGTTTTGCTGTTACCATCAAGAATCTGTTGCTAATATTCATAATGTAAGAAGGAGGAAGCTCTTGACATATTGTCTTCATGTTACAAGCTGACACCTGTTATTCCAGCAGTCTTCTAAAGTGATATGCTGCAAAGTGAATACTTTTTGTCATCATTTATCATAGTCTGTGTGAAGCTAATTTCAAAATAAAACAGTATAAAAGAAAACCAGATGTCATAAAAATTGGCAAAGTAGCCCTTATTTTTCTGTAGAATATGCATATCTATTCCCCAAAAGACTAACCTTTCCCCAAAAAATGTTTGTAAGAAGATATGAGACTTCAGAATTGCTTTTCACATTTTGCTCTGCTTTTTTATATAGGTATAAATAGAACAGCCTTAAGAGAGATAAAATTATTACAGGAGCTAAGTCATCCAAATATAATTGGTGTGAGTATGATCTACATTGTTTCTGGGATATGGGACCCTGCCATTTCTGAATGTGGTAGTTGTTGATTGAAGGCTCAGCAAGATGAGTTGTTTTAGGTGAGCCTTGTAAAAAAGCTTAAAAGTTTATCATGCCAAAATGTATTTTTTGTTCTAATTGGACTGGAGGCAGTGTCTTTAAAACCGTATAACTGATGAAATAAATTTAATTTTGTCAAAAATTATTTTGAAGCCTAGAGAGCTCTAACATGCATAAGCTTGAGTAAGCTCCCTACGACTCTGTGCCATAATTTCTACCTCATAGGGTTGTTGCGAGACTAGTTAATTTATTGAATGTGTGCAAAGTACCTGGAAAATAGTGCCTGGCATAGAGATGGCATATAATGAATGATAGCTGCCACTGCTATTTATAGGATTTTCTTAAATACTGAGCATGGTAATTTTTCTGAATTAGAGACTGAGGTGAGATTTTCATTAATGATTTCTTAATTATAACTGAAAATTTTGGAGGAGAATTTAAGTAGTTAGTGACTTTTTAAAAAATGTTTGTTTATTTATTTGAGAGAGAGAGAGAGAGCACGTGAGCAGGAGAGGGGTAGATAGACATTTTCAAGCAGGCTCCATGCTCAGCACAGAACCTGATGCGAGGCTGGATCTCATGACCCTGAAATCATGATCTGAGCTGAAATCAAGAATCAGACACTTAACCAACTGAGCCACGCAGGGACTCCTAGTGACTTTTTAAAAATATTAAAGTTTAGTATTTTTGTGCTTCAAAGTACTAATTCCTAGGGGGGAAAAAGGATAGATGTCAAATTTAATAAAATAATTCAAATTTAACAGGGAAATATCAGCAGTCCAATGCTAGTTTAAATTTTTTGAAATTACTTGGGTTGGTATAATTTTCAAGTATTTAATAGAGAATCAGATTTTGATCTTTTTTTTTTAATACTGCTTTGCAGCTCCTTGATGCGTTTGGACATAAATCTAATATTAGCCTTGTCTTTGATTTTATGGAAACTGATCTGGAGGTAAGATTAAGATTCGTAGAGAAATTTTTTTTCTCTCTAAATCAAAAGAGAACCTAAATGTTTATTTTCTATGTTTAAAGATACTGTTAGTCAAAGGAATGCTTAATTTTGTTGAAATGTGAATGTACTCCCCCGCCCCCACCAGAATGACAGAGAGAAAGAGAGCATTTGTGTTTGAGCACACAGGGTAGAGTCAGATGGAGAGTGAGATAGAGAATCTCAAGTGGGCTCCAGAGCCAGCTGAAAGCTCTACTTGGGGCTCAGTCTCACAACTGTGAGATCATGACCTAAGTCACAATCAGAAATCAGACGCTTAATTGACTAAGCCACCCAGGCACCCCTAAATGTGAATGTACTCTTTTTTTTTTTCTTTTAATGTTTGTTTATTTTTGAGACACAGGCAGAGCGTGAGTGGGGGAGGGGCAGAGAGAAGGATACACAGAATCCAAAGCAGGCTCCAGGCTCTACACTGTCAGTGCACAATCCGACACAGGGCTCACACTCACAGACCTCGAGATCATGACCTGAGCCGAAGTTGGACGCTTAATTGGCTAAGCCACCCGGGTGCCCCAGTATTCTTAAGTGAAAGATCTTTTGAGTCATTTAGCCATATTCCCAGTGTTAGATACAGAGATTTGGATTTCAAAGCATTTTTGTTGACCAAGTTCCCTATACTTTATTGACATTATTTTTAGATAAATGAATATCAGGTCTTTCAGAATTTCCATATTATTACAGAATATCATCTTTTTGAAAGCCAAATTTTTGTTTTTGAGAAATTAAAATGTTACGGTTTTTCTTAATATTAATTGAATCTCAAAAATTGACAATCCAGGGATGTTGAACAACTGAAAGTCTCATATGCTGCTGGTGAGAATGCAAAATGGTACAGCCAGTTTGGAAAATAGTTTGGCAGTTTCCTAAACAGTTAAATACACACATAAAGTACGATCTCGCAATACCACTGCTAGGCATTCAAGAGAAACAAAAACCTGTCTACACAGAAATCAGTTGGTACACAGATGTTTAGCTTTATTCATTATTGCCCAAATTGGAAACAATCCAGTACTCACTTTTGTATAGTGAATATATAAACAAACTGTGGTATATCTATATAATGGAATACTGTTCGGGAATAAAAAGAAATTAACTACTCAATTAAGCAACAGTATAGAGAAATCTCAAATGCATTGTACTAAATGAAAGAACCCAGGTTCGAAAGGCTATGTATTATATGATTCTATTTATGTGATATTATGGCAAAGGCAAAACTAAAGGAATAGAAATTGGATCAGTTGTGGCCACGATTGGAGTGGAGGGAAGTACTGGGTACAGTGGGGCCTGAGGCGATTGGGGGTGGGAGTGAGGGTTATAGAACTCTTACCTTGATTATGGTAGTGATTACACAACTGGATATGTTTGTTAAAACTCATGGAACTATGCACCACAAAGGGCATATTTTACCTGAATCTGATTTCTTTTTTTGTTTTTGCAAATGGGATTGTTCTCTTAATTTTTCTTTCTGCTACTTCCATATTAGTGTTTAGATATGCAACAGATTTCTCTATATTGATTTTGTATCCTGCCACTTTCCCGAATTCACTTATCAGTTCTAGTAGTTCTTTATTTTTATTTTTTTTCAATATATGAAATTTATTGTCAAATTGATTTCCATACAACACCCAGTGCTCATCCCAAAAGGTGCCCTCCTCAGTACCCATCACCCACCCGCCCCTCCCTCCCACCCCCCATCAACCCTCAGTTTGTTCTCAGTTTTTAAGAGTCTCTTATGCTTTGGCTCTCTCCCACTCTAACCTCTTTTTTTTTTTTTCCCTTCCCCTCCCCCATGGGTTTCTGTTAAGTTTCTCAGGATCCACATAAGAGTGAAAACATATGGTATCTGTCTTTCTCTGTATGGCTTATTTCACTTAGCATCACACTCTCCAGTTCCATCCACGTTGCTACAAAGGGCCATATTTCGTTCTTTCTCATTGCCGTGTAGTACTCCATTGTGTATATGAACCACAATTTCTTTATCCATTCATCAGTTGATGGACATTTAGGCTCTCTAGTGGTTCTTTAAATACTATGAATCTTTAGGGTTTTCTATATATAGTAGTATGTCATCTGCAAACAAAGTTATTTCTTCTTGCTAGTTTGGATACCTTTTATCCAAATCTGATTTCTAAAAAAATAAAATGGGAATTTTTAGCTAGTATAACTTAAAAATCTAGGAATAAACTGTCTTTAAGTACAGTTCACAAATAATGCCATCAGAACTCAGTCTTGGACTTTAACTTAGCTCTATTTTCTACTTTGTTGCCTTCCTTCTCAATATAGTGCCTAATTTCTCAATATAGTGACTCAGGCACTTCAGGCTCAGATCCTTAGAGTTTATTAATCTCTAAAGAAAGAGAAGGTACTTTGTCCTTTTTCATTCTAGCAGAAGTACTTGGCCTCTTTAATTAGCTTGGCTAGGATCACATGTCCATCCCTAAACCAGTGTCCTGGATAACAGGCTTCAGTTTGGTGGTTGCCTGTGCCTGGGTCTTGTATCTAGTTCTAGAGGCCACAGGTAGTAGTCAGTCCTGTTTTACATTCAAACAAATGATGAATGCTGTTATCAGAAGGGGCTGTACATCCTGGGGCAAGCAAAACGACAGATGTTCACTATTAGTGCCTTTTAAACAGAACGGGAGGAGAGAAAGCACCAGAAGAGATATTTTTCCTAACCATGTAACTTGAAATTCTGACAGTGCTTCCTAAGGAGAGTTAGGTAGTCTTTCTTGAGATTGTTCTGTAGAATGGATAAATTGATTTTATGTCTGTAAATGATTTTATGTGATATAATTTATTTGGAATAATTGTATATTATATACCGGCTTTGCAGGTGATAATAAAGGATAATAGTCTAGTGCTGACACCATCACACATCAAAGCCTACATGTTAATGACTCTTCAAGGGTTAGAATATTTACATCAACATTGGATTCTACATAGGGTAAGGTTTTTAACCAAGTATGATCGATTCTTTATATTTTAGTCAAGGTTTATGTAGCCAATTATTACATAAATGGTCTGAATATGTAAATTGTTAAAAATATAGCTGGACCCCATTGTATCCCACCTTCTTCCTCTGTGTTCCCTTCAGTTGTTCCAGGAGGTGGTGCTATGAGGATTCTAAAATACTATGTGAAATTTAAAAATGGAAGAGGCCCAGTTCATTTTTTTCATAGATGAAGAGCTAAGTTGCTAAGTCACCTGACCAAGGTTATATGTATTTTTTCAAGGTCAGTAGCTGGTAACTGGCAGAGTATTAGAATCTAGATGTTTGGGTTAACTCCAGTGTTCTTTGTGCTGTATTGTTGTGACAGAAAAAAAAATACAGTGAGAATCTGGATTAAAGTATACAATCCTAAAATTTTTTTAGAAAAACAAAATTTCTAAGAACTCTAAAAATCTATGAAGTAATAAAATTTCTGAAATAGTTGAGTCATTGTTAGAAATATCCAGGTATTGAAACAAGACTGATAATCTAATAGGTAGATGTTCTTAGATGTTCTGTTTTGTTTTTTTTTTTTTTAATTTTTTTTTTTTCCAACGTTTATTTATTTTTGGGACAGAGAGAGACAGAGCATGAACGGGGGAGGGGCAGAGAGAGAGGGAGACGCAGAATCGGAAACAGGCTCCAGGCTCTGAGCCATCAGCCCAGAGCCTGACGCGGGGCTCGAACTCACGGACCGCGAGATCGTGACCTGGCTGAAGTCGGACGCTTAACCGACTGCGCCACCCAGGCGCCCAGATATTCTGTTTAGATAAATAGCTGAGAATATATAATTTGTAGTCAGTAATCCTCATATCCTAAACTTGGGATCCCTTTGAGGTTATTGCTAATATCCTTATAGTATAGATTTTGAAGGATATATTCCTCATCCTCTCTAAATGCATAATGTTTTTATTTACCGAAGTTCAGATGGCAGCAACTCTTTGTTGAGTTCATAGTCATTACACTAGGCTGTTCACAGCAACCTTGTAGGTAAATTGAAGCTCAGTGATCCAAGGTCTCACCAAAGTAATATAACCAATGTTAATTACTCTTTGGTAGGATTTTATATCAGTGAGAAAAATATTGATTATTATTTAAATTTGGGGTTTACCCTGTTATTGCAAAGTTTAAAGTTAAGCCAACTAAGTGTATTGTTATAATATTCTCTTGTGCCCTGCTTATGTATTTATTTAAAACCTCCATGTACAGGATCTAAAACCAAATAACTTGTTGCTGGATGAAAATGGAGTTCTAAAACTGGCAGATTTTGGCCTGGCCAAATCATTTGGGAGCCCCAATAGAGCATATACACATCAGGTTGTAACCAGGTAAGAATTTTTTAAAACACTGAAAACTTACGTTGTGTGGGATTTTTTTTTTTTTTTTAAACAAGTTCTCCGTGGGCCTAACGTGGGCTTGAACTCATGTCCCCGAGATTGAGAGTCCTATCTCTACCGACTGAGCCAGGCAGGTGCCCCTTGTTGTGTAGGATATTAATCACAAATGAGCATCATTTGGGTTCTTTGAAATATCTCGGCAGAGTTCAGGAATTATTGTTGGTGTTTTGCTAAAAACATGGACCTCTTTACGTTTAACCACAATGAAAAAAATACAGCCATTTTTTCAAATGGAGTTTGATTAAGTCCATTTTCAGACATTTACCTAACAAGTTTTGGGACTAATTTATACCACTTCTACATTTAGTTAGGTTGGCTGGAACTGTAGTGGCTATTTTTTTACATATTTACCTGATTGGGGGG